AGTTAACCCAAGGCAAAAACAATTTTTTTATTTTTTCCATCATCATTTATCCCCCCATACCCTCTTCCCCTTCGTAATCACCACACTGTTGTCTATGTCCATGAGTACTTTCTCTCTTTTCTTTTTTGCTCAATCCCCCACCACCACCACCAATACCCCTCCACCACCTCTTTACTCTCACCCCTGCTCCAGAGCTGTCTGCCTGCTCTCTATCTATGAGATTGTCTTTGTTTTGTTTGTTAATTCAGTATGTCCATTAAATTCCACATGAGTGGAATCATATGGTATTTGTCTTTCTCTCACTGGCTTATTTCACTTAGCATAATGTTCTCCAGGTCCATCCATGCTCTTCCAAAAGGAGAAATTTTCTTCCTTTTTACAGCAGAGTAGTATACCGTTGTGTAAATGTACCACAGCTTTTTTTATCCACTCATCTACTGATGGACACTTGGGCTGCTTCCAAATTTTGGCTATTGTTAATAATGCTACAATGGGTGCATATATTCTTTTGAATTAGTATTTCAGGTTCCTTCAGATAAATTCCCAAAAGTGGAATTGCTGGGTCATAAGGTAGTTCCATTTTTAGTTTTTTGAGGTAACTCCATACTGCTTTCCACAGTAGCTACACCAGTCTGTATTCAACAGTGAACAAGGGTTGTCTTTTCCACATCCTCGCCAACACTTCTTTATTTATTAATGATAATCATTCTGACAGGTGTGAGATGATATCTCATTCTGGTTTTAATTTGCATCTCTCCAATGGTTAGTGACATTGAGCATCCTTTCATATGTCTATTGGCTATCTACATGTCCTCTTTGGAGAAGTGTCTATTCAGGTTCTTTATACATTTAAAAATTAGATGTTTGGGGGGTTTTTTGGTGTTCAGTTTTGTAAATTCTTTATAAAGTTCAGATATTAGCCTTTAATCAGATGTACTGATGAATACGTTCTCCCATTCAGTGGGTCTTTTCATTTTGTTGATGGTTTCCTTTGCTGTGGAAAACTTTAGTTTAATGTAGTACCATTTGTTTATTTTCCTTTTTGCTTCTCTTGCCCTAGGAAATATATCAGAAGAAAAATATTGCTACAAGAAATATCCAAGACTTTACTGCCTATGTTTTCTCCTAGGATTTTTATGGTTTTGAGTCTAACATTCAAGTCTTTAGTCCATTTTGAATTTATTCTTCTGTTTGGTGTAAGAAGGTGGTCTAGTTTTGTTGTTTTACATGCATCTGTCCAATCTTCCCAATACCATTTACTGAATAGACTATCTTTACCACATTGTATGTTTTTACCCCCTTGGTCAAATACTAATGTAGCTATAAAGGCATGGGTTTATTTCTGGGCTCTCTATTCTGTTTCACTGATCTATATGTCTGTTTTTATACCAGTACCACACTGTTTTGATTACTATGGCTTTGTAGTATAGTTATATATCTGGTAGCGTGATTCCTCCAACTTTCTTCTTCTTTCTCAAGATTGCTGTTACTATTTGGAGTCTTTTGTGGTCCCAAATAACTTTTGTTCTAGTTCTGTGAAATACACCATTGGTATTTTGATAGGAATGGCACTGAATCTGTAGATTGCTTTGGGTAATAAGGACATTTTAATGATGTTAATTATATCTATGAACATGGTATGTGCTTTCACTTATTTGTATCTTCTTCAATTTCTTTTTTCAGAGTCTTATAATTTTCCAGGTACCAGTCCTGTCTATCCTTGGTTAAATGTATCTTTTAGGTATTTTATTCTTTTTGAAGCAATTGTGAATAGAATTGTTTTATTAGTACCTTTT